CAGCATAAGTTGTGTGAGAATTTGTAACCAAATGTATTTTTAATAGTTTTGATGCTGTTAAACATGGTGCCCAATCAGTTCATAAATATGCTGGCTGTTTTCAATGAAGGCATGCTAGGCTAAGTTTTCTTCACAAAGTCAAGGTAACAGGGCATGATTAATTAATATACAAATGGTAATTTTGTGGGTTAAGTATTCCTTTGAGGCCGTGTGAGATATTTGATGTGATTTTTCTGAATGACTGACATTGTTATCTTTCACTTTGTCCATCCAGAATGACTCAGTGGCAGGGTTGAGGGTGATCGACCATTCCTGCTCACTCGGTCGCACTGCAGCTGGGGATAGCAAAACATTTCTGTTCAAAACAATGTACTTCTTTTGTGATTGTGACTGTGTTAAAGTATAATACAAGTCTGAATCAAAATAGGTTGAAATATTTCAGCTCACCGGGCTGAGCAGGTTGAACACAGGACAGACCCAGCTCAGAGTACAGTGTTGAATCTCTGCTGTGAATGTGAGCAATCAGCTTCCTGCTGGCTTCGTCTCCTTTCTTCTTCACTGTGTCGATGAGAACGCGTGCCTTGTCTGCTGTGGCGCTGTACTCCTCAACTATTGAGTCTTTCTGGCCATCATTCAAGACGCCATCGTCTAAAAGGTCGTCCAGGAGCTGCTTAATCAGTACTTTGGACACTTTGTCCACAAATTTTCTCCTCACTCTGCCGAGCTCAACTGGAACAGGAAATATGAAGCAACATTGATATAAACTGGCTGGACAAAATAATACAGACATCTGCAAGTACAAGGCAATACAGTTCAACGCACCACAAACTACATCCTTCAAAATGATCCTCAAGTTGGATCAACACCTTTAAAAACAATGACTTTAGTTGTTCTTTTATCTCAGACATGTTAGGATATTACATACATCCTACATTCCTATACATTACATACATATATACATACGTCTTTATCAGCTGATCTGTCATACTGCATGTTACAATGCAAGATAAGTTGAATATAGTCCCTTGACACGCCGCTGATGTGAAAAGCTCCCTCCCACCCAGTTTATCCGGTTGACGTGAATTAAACCCGGTGGAGCTCTTAAACCGGACCGAACCAGTTAAACCGGAAATCGGGGCAAGCCTAGTTGTCATAATGCATGTTACAATGCAAGATAAGTTGAATATAGTCCCTTGACACGCCGCTGATGTGAAACGCCCCCACCAGGTTTATCCGGTTGACGTGAATTAAACCGGGTGGAGCTCTTAAACCGGACCGAACCAGTTAAACAGGAAATCGGCACAAGCCTATGTCACGCCTCCCTAATATCGGCTGATCAACAGATCAGCTGATAAAGATGCGTCACAACCACCACCAAGTGACACTTCTGAGGAATGCGGAAGTTTCCGCCGAAACATGTCAAGGTATGTAACATCCTAACATGTCTGAGATAAAAGAACAACTAAAGTCATTATCATAAACTAAAGACATAATAAACACCATTGAACTACCTTTAAAAACAGTTTTAACAAAAATATAACACCGTTCATGCAGGTAGGATTTATTGCAGTATGTTGTATTAACTGTATTAGTTTATAGCAAGATGTACCTAATAAATTGAGTGTACAGTTAGTAAACACATGTTGAAGTAATGCATACAAATTAATCTGAATGATGCATGTGTGAGTTATCATTAAATCATGATCTCACATTGTCGTTTCTTAATAGTGATGTAAAGCACTACCATATCACACAGATGAGTTGAATAACTCACCTGTGTGATATTCATTATTTTATAGTCATTATTTTGTTCCAGTGCATTGTTCTGCTGGGAAACCTTTGGTTCTGGCATTCATGTTGATACCACCTGACATGTTCCACCCACTCAAACACCGCTGCAGACCAAGTACCCCCCAGCAGAATTATGCATCCTGCTTACATCGCTCAAGGATTGGCCCAAGGAATATGACAAAGTGCATCTGAGCATCTGTGGCATATGCCATTAACCACCTGTCAGTGGTTTTAATGTTTTGGTTATCACTATATATATATATATATATATATATATATATATATTCAATATCTCCATATGTTCCATAACTTTGAGTAAAGGCCCCTCTTTGTATATTGGCGGAGGGTTGGCTGTGGTGAGCCCTTCCTCCTCACAGATAGGAAACATACACACAGCTACGCCCAGGGTTACATTATTTGACTTGATCAGCTGAACACTTGTAACATTTTCACATTATATTATGACTTATTAAACCATAAGCGATGTGGCTTTTGTATTTAACCTTTCAGTCAGAGGACGCTTGAATAAATAAATATAATAAGTTTATCGGCTGACCCGGGACTTTGGACATTCTGGCTCCTTAAAGAAGTCGCTTTATGCTTTTCAACTTTCTGAGCCAACACTTGAAATGTCTGACAGTGAGCCGGCTATTAATACACTGTAGCCTATAACACACTACAGTTTTCATGTCAACAAGATAATCTTGTACAAAAAGCTTGTAGATGTAAATTCTGAAAGCCTTTAAAGGCTGCATCATATTGTTTTGTCTGCGTTTTGTTATACAACCAAACAGACTTCACAACGGCACAAACCAGCAGGGCGGGCAGGAGCCACGACAAAACGAAACTACAAACGTGGCACACACGCTGAAATGCAGAATTATCAAGACTTTTCTTTGACAGACTGAGTTACATAAAGGAAGCATAAGAAATTATATTTCTAACCCCATTCTCCTCACCGCCATCATAACGCTGCACGGATCGTTTACGGCAAGTTTGCCTGCATATTTCCGCCACCATACACCAGAGTAATTATTGTTACCATGAAGGGCTTTTAGACTGTGAACTCTTACCTGCCATTTCTCAAATCTGTTTAAACCGAAGTCTGAAAAAAGTTACTCAGGAAAACAGCTTCCAGCGGCAGCCTGTGCGCAGGGACGGGTTCGTGCGTACTGGCTGAGGTGATAAATCAACTGAAGTGGGCGGATCGATAGAGATAGGCTAGGTGTCGTTATGAAGATAGACTCCCAACGTCATAGGATCGATACCGAGGAGGGATCGGCTTCTCTCACCTACTTTGTAACACACTTGTATTGCACCAAAGAGTAAAACTGTCTGTGCCAACAATGGTCCGGTGCTGTGGAAGCTTTTCTTTTTGCATTTCCTCCACATCCTTTATATCAGATGTCATTTTTTAAACTGCTCTACAAGTGAGGCTGGTCCAAAGGTCACAATCTTAGATGTGTGTGGGAAGGCTGTTCACTTCAGTGGCAACACCACACATTGTTAAACAACAACAATAAATAAACATGCTTCCTGCTTTACACATAGAGATTATATCATCAGTACTAGCCCACAGTCCACTGCTGCAGGCTCAAAAAAGGAGAACCATTGCTCCAAAAGTTCTCTAATTTATTATTCAAACCATATTTTAAATAGGCCGAATTTAGACTCTTAACATGAACCACACCTTGAAACAGGGTGCTCGGCTGTGCGTCGTCCAGCAGCATGTAGCCAAATCAGGCGACTCTCAAATCAAGGACAGCAAAGGAACTGTTGACTGTTTGATTTGCAGCCTTTAACTGTGCAAACAGACCAACAAAAAGCCAAACGCATATATAGTCCACCTACAACAGGTATACAACTACCATTGGTTGACCAAGATTTCAAATCTATTGGATAAGAGGATCAAAAGGTGGGAGTCGCCATTTTTAGTATCCAAGTGCCACACCCCATTTACCACAATCACATCAGGAACAACAGATCTGAGTAATGCTTAAAGTTACAAAGATATAATAAAATAAAAAAAGTGAGTTTGTGCATTAGATTAAAGGAAACATGGCAAATTCAGTGATTCGTTTAGATCAAAGGGCTCAGCTGCGTTAAAAGAGTGGGGACCCAACGTGCCCCTGTGCAAAGCAAAAGAGAGGGTAAAACTTTTTGTATTCCTTAGAACTTTAATGAAGTTACAAAGCCATGGTTAGCCTGTGCATATTGTGGGGAAACATCCCTGTAAAAGCCAAATATGTAATTTCCCTCAGTAGCCATGAATTGTATTTACTATTGGTGCACACTTGGTGGTGCTGTATTGGTATTTGGAGCATTTATGTAGCCTATGAAGGTAGGAACAAAATTGTTCTTGTCAAAACCACAAGAAGGCTAATTCTTTTGTTAGCCACACCACTAAAAAACAATACAAAATTCAGAAATTCATTACTTGCCGCTCTACATTCATGTCCGTGTGGCCTACAATATATAGATAAAACCAACCACCAACTCAGAACCAGCATCAAAGAACACAGAAGCTCCATCCACAGCGGTGATCCTAAATCCCCTGTAGCTAGACATTTCCAGGAAGCTAAACATCCAGCTACTGAACTTAGATTCTGCGGCACTGATAGAGTGAATCCCAGCCGTAGACACACAGACCTTGAAACAAAACTCCTTCAGTCTGAAAGCAGATGGATTTTTCTCCTTCAAACTGAACAGCCTCTAGGCCTTAATACTTAATTTGTCTTATTTTCTCTAGGTGGCCCTTTTCCATCCCGATCTGCATGTGCCAGCATGTATCTCCTGTACCTATGTAGATGCTTTTTATTCACACGCATGGTTTAGTGATAGTATTGTTGTTGTACATATCTTCTTTCCATATATATACATTCAAGTATCTCTGTTGTAGGGTCTTTTTATTACCAAGAATTGTATAATCATTACTTTTATTACATTGCTTCTGAATGTTAGTTGTACTCACAAGTATGTCACATCTTTTTAATCAACATCAGCTTCAGCTGCTAGATTGGCCACACTTGGTAGGGCCTGCCTGTCTTTATCTCTGTTGGAAAACACATGTAGCACTGATGATAATCTAGGACTGAAACATTTGCTTGCTGCCTCTTTTGCACTTTTTTGTTGAGCACTTTTTTGGTTTTTGCACTTATGTATTAATTAAAGTTTTGGACTTTTTCATATTGATCTCAGCCTGTGGACTCTTTATGTGGCTTTTTCCAGCCCATTTCTTTGGTGTGCGGGTTACTCCTTTGTGGTTCCCCTCACTTGTTTTCTCAGTACCGAGTCGACGCACCCAAATGAAAGCTTTTTGATTCCTCAGGTAGGCGCAGGGCCACAACATCTTTAACTCCTTACAGGAACAAAATTGTTGCCATCAGGTGTTTCACCCAGGAAGGGCAAAAGGTTTTTGACCACTTTGGCGCGGGACAGTGTGCAATGTGCTGAAAGCTCTGTGTTCGGTTTGGATAAATGTTAAAGAAATGGACATTTATTCAACCTATGTTTGGTGTGTATGAATAAATATGATGATGATTCTGCAACTGTAACCTGCAGTTTTTTGTCTGAACTCAACACAACCAAAGAAACTGTTGCCAGATCAGGCCAGGTGAAACATCCATGTTTATGTGCATATTGCAGTATTGTATTCAGAAAAATCCAAATCTTAAAAGCTCCTTTAGTTTGTCCAACATAAACCAAGACCACAGGGGCATTTCAGCATGTAGACAACATGTCCTGCTGCAGTTTATGAAGGATTTTATGGTTTATTTTTTACCAGTACGTGTAGCATCTACAACCCATAAGTTTCCCTGCAAGTATTACAATCAGCAGATATAATTTCTCCCAGTACAGGATACATTAATAATCTCAGAAGCTGCAAAAACATTTTTATTAATGAAATAATCATGACGTAAAATTCACCAGATGTCCCATAATCCGTTAGTCACGTGACAATTCGGTCAATTACAAAAAAAACACACACACACAGTTAAATATCATTTTATAATGAGTCACACATTTTATCATATATTTACTAAAAATAAGTATATAAAGGGCATTAATATTACCATAGATATTAAGACATCAAGTGATTATAAGTTCATGACTGCATGTCGTGCATTGAGAAGAGTCTTAATAGAAATCTTCTGAAGTAAAACTGTATTTTTTTTTATATTATACAGAAACAACGTCTTTATAAATTGCATGATAATGAATGACGAGTATCTCCATTCCTCATTTCCTCTGTGCACGGTGCATCAGCAGTAGGGATTAGTGTGGATGACCAGTTCCGCTTCTCTTGAGACACTGCGGCTGCAAACAGCAAAACACAACATCACTGCATTCAGGGTGCTGTTCAAAATGACATATTTCTTTGTGCTAGTGATACTGTATGTCTGTTTGTCTTATAGTCAACAAGTCCTGTGAAAAGACCGAAACAAGTGAACTGATCCTACCAACAGGTATTGCCTGGGTAGCCAAAGCTTGATATATCTTGTTCCTCTATTGTCGTACAAACACACATCAATGAGCCACACTGTTGCACCGGGTGACATTTTTCCACACTAGGTCCTTATCAGCCCTCTAAACGGACTTTTTGCGCATGTGTGAACACTCCAAGAGAACTCAGACCCCTCTGACACAAACCCAAGGTGGTCTGAGTTTGGTTCACTTCAAGTCAACGGTTCACTTAACCTGTGCCTTGTGAACACAAAATGCACCAGGTTCGCTTTGCTCTTTGCCACTGTATTTAGCCCTCTAGATTACATGCTTTTGCACTGGGATACTTGATAAAACAGACGAAACCACGTCGGCCTGTAATGCTTGCAAGCATGCAGGAAGAGGAGTAGTTTGGTCCACAGAAGATACTGCACGTCTTCAGATGTGGCATGTAGAATACATCAAACAACAACAGTCTACAGCACAGAAACACTGAGGTTTTCCTCCAATTTTAAGTTCATCTGAAAGCGAGTGGCTTCATAACCTCACTGCAGGGCCACGTCAAAGTAAAAACATAACTATGTCAATATATATATTATATAGAGTGTGAACAGGAAGAGGACTGAGGCCCCATCAGAGCTGAAGTTTACCAGAAAGAGAACTGAGTGTTCTTTCAAATGAACTGACAATGTGAACACAAAAAGAACTGAGTCCCTTTTCTGTTGGTCCACTTTCAGAGGAATGAGTTTGGTTTGTTTAAACAAGACTACATGTGAAAACACCTTTAGTCTTTGCATGTTGCTGTTCCTATAGGAGTGCCACAAGGGGGCAGTATACAGCGGGGTACAAAATGCTCCAAAAAGAGCTATCTTTACATAAACTGAACATGTGCCAAATTTACGAGCAAGCATATTAGCTTGGGCGTACAACTTGCAACACTGTCTGTGGATATCTTTGTCATCAGATAAATCATTGACAATATAATGGCTGACATATTTAATCTCATTACACACTTTAAGAGCAACACCAGATAAGAAGAATTCAGGAAATACTAATTTTCTGTCTTCTTTACTTCTAACAGTCATAATGTTGCTCTTATTGGCGTTATATTTGATATCAGAATCTGCACCATAGTTGTTGTAGGCCGGCACTGTACGGGCAGAAGATTACCAAATCATCTGCATAAGATGATTTATTTAACTATATCCAGTCAAACACATCCTCAGTGGAAACAAAAAGTGTTGAGAGACAGACTACTGTGTTATCTGATTTTGTCATTTCATGGTATTCATAAAGGGATATATTGAATAATGCCAGACTTATTCTTTAGACAAAAATAGGATAAAGTTCTCTCCACCTCAGGCACATTTTACGTTTTCATTTGAACTTGAGTGTCAAGTGTCAGTTCTGCAAACAACGGATACGTTAAATTTGTACGTTTCATACATATATTAATGTTTCTGAAGTGGCACTTGAATATGAGCTAGCTTGTCATGGGGAGGTGGAGGGGATGGTGGATGGCTTGTCACCTATAGGCAAGATGTCTGCCAAGCTGTAGATCACTGTTACAGACCAACAAACAACAAAACCGGCTGTTTTAAAGCAATAAATCGTTGCATCTTTCATCAGCTTTTTAGCCACTGAACATGGTTGTTATTCAGTGACCCGTCTCTGTGTTTCATGCCGGGATAGTGCTACAAAAAGTGGTTGTTTCCTAGAAGCAGGATTGTGTTACCAAAACTGGGTATAAGCAAAAACGTGATTTATTTTTCTAACCATTACCAAGTGTTTTTTGTTCTTAAACCTAACCGCACATTAACCACAATGTTGTTGAAAAGTTAAAATATTCAATGTATCCGCTACATAATAATGGAAATATGTAACATAACCATGGTTTACAGAAATGTTTAATGCCAAAATTTATTCTGGCGACTGGGTTTCAAAGCTCAGAAATGCTGACCAGCTCCACTGCATAATGCCAGCTCACCTAAACAGGTTGATCCGAGGACAGGCCCAGCTCAGAGTACAGTGTCGCATCTCTGCTCTTCAGGTGAGCAATCAGCTTCCTGCTGGCTTCGTCTCCTTTCTTCTTCACTGTGTCAATGAGACAGCGTGCCTTGTCTGCCGTGGCGCTGTTCTCCTCGTCTATTGAGTCTTTCTCGCCATCATTCAAAATGCCATCGTCTAAAAGGTAGTCCAGGAGCTGCTTAATCAGTGCTCTGGACACTTTGTCCACAAACCTTCTACTCACCCTGGCGAGCTCATCTGGAAGAGGAAATATGGACCAAAAGAAATCACACAACTCAGAAGTTTTGATTTCAGCAGAGGTACAAACACTGAATGAGACATTAGGAGTAAATGCTGTTTAGCGTACCTTCACTGACATAAATGGGGTGGACAAAATAATATTCAAGAGAAGGCACTCTCACTAATTCGCTGCAGGAAGCTTCCTTATCCACAGGAATCATGAAGCAAAAAAATGCACAACTTCAATACTGACTTCTTTAAATATTTTAAAGATCTTATGATGAATATCAAATTAAAGGGGAACTAATGTTTTTTTCAACCTGGGCCCTATTTTCTGATCTACTTTTGTCTAAATGAGTGATAGGACGTTCAATATTTGACATTTCTCCAGTACGAAGCTAGGGCTGACCTGCCTGCAGCCCATGAGCGCACGCTATATTAAATAAGGCACTCAGACAGCATCAAACAACGTCAAAACATCTGCTCATCCCACTTCAGTCTTTTTTTTATTGCAGCAAATTGAATCTATTGGGCTGCAACAGCAATTGATTTTCAAGTGAGCTACCAAAAGTTTATTTGTAATTGCAATGTTAATAACTTATTGAATAAAGAATCAATAGCTACTTGGTGCCCAGGTATCGATCCAATATTACAGCACATAATATTGCAATTCTTTGCTGTATCGATTTTTTTTCTCCCACCCCCACTAAAGACACTGTATACAAAAAATTAATATATATGTACCAGTATGCACATATCATTTAATGTTGCATCTAGTAAAGGTGGAGCTAACTGTAAAACTTATTACACTGTTGTTTAATCCAGTGGTTCCCAACTGGTCCAGCCACAGGGTCCATATTTCTCCTTATGCAGGATTTACACTTCTGTATCGAATCGAGGCCGTACCTACGGCGTGTGCTCTGCTTGATGTACAGCCTACGCCGCTGCCTGACCTCCCAGAAAATGTAACATGTGCCGGCAACATCAACCTTCTGACTGTTTTTGTGAGCAGAAATCCATTTCCCTCAGTGGAAACGAAGCTTTTATTTTAATTTCACAGATAAGAAGACTGTGAAGACAATAAAGCCTCCACAAAAATACCATTTTAAGTTTAAGTTTTTAATCTTGTATTTATGATTATTATGTATTTATTTATTCATTTTTATCAATCTGTTTTTTTTAGCTGGCATATTCTTCTGTTTCATTAGTTATTTGGTTTTTGTTGTTGGGGTTTTTTTTGGGGGGGGGGTATTTTTATTGTGTGAAGCACTTTGTGTTGTGCTATATAAATGTTAGTGTAAAACAAAAACATTATTCATCTCAAACCATTTTAATAACATTTGCTCTCCCCTATTGTCACTTTCCACCAGTGCAGTGAATGCTGGTCTCTACAAGGTCAAAGTGTGTATTTATTTAGATTGCTGGTTTCCCCAGATATGAAACCAAACTTGTCTAACCAAGGTATGAATATCTGTTTTTAATGTACTGTTTGTTGCAGTCAGAGAACATAAATGTATTCATTACAAATTCTATTAAACCTAATTCTTTCCTTTTCTAATCTCTTGGGATTTAATATTCAGTCTCTAATCTGTGTAGATTGTTGAAGAGCAGGTGGCAAACTGTCACTTCTTGTGGTTACATAAAAAACAACAGAGACTGCAGCCTAATGGTCAAAGAGCATGTAAGAGAAAGCGAAAGTTTCCCTTCAGAATCAACTCTATTCAACTGAATGTCATATAAGACTCATGCGTTAATAACAGGCTTTCTGTGCTGACTGATTGATTGGAGAGTTATTTTAAAGTCTCAAACGTCTTAATAAGAAATTTAGTTCGTTTATCTTGCAACTGCAGTATGGATACGCCCAGGAAGCCTCACAGTTAAACTTGACTTTGAACTGGATTGTTTTACGCACCGCATGAAGCTGTGTATAATCCTCAGCAGGCTGCTGCAAACACTGTCAAAGAAAAGTCTTTACAGCCTCTGTAAGCTATTACTTTCTGCGCGCCAGTACGATTTAATTACCGCAAAATGTTCAACTTGACTTATGCAGCTTTAACTGTAAAGTTGTTTGCAAAGTGTATTTCCTCTTACCAGCCATCTCTCACACACTTCGTGTCACAGGATCGTAAAGAATATAGTCCAGCGAGGTTACATTAAAAACTGAACCCTGAGTGACGAGCTACTGCGTAAACTTTGCGTGGAGATTTTCGCGCCAAATATCCTGCATAATGTTACTAGTTATCAAAATGGAAAATGATGCAACATTTTGAATTATTGTTGCAGACAAACAACACGGAAACATCTGCACGCAGATGTTCGCCAGAGGAGAGGCGGAGTCATAATCTGATGGCTCATGTCTTCCTTAAACTGGGAAACTTTGTTTATTCTTACAGATTAGATCATGCAATTAAGTAGGTGAAAAAAGGCTCCACCTCGACCAGCAACATTAAAATAATCTTTACGTGTTAATGCAGCAGTAGCAGACTATAATACATTTATATAATAAATCATATATAATATAATTATAGAATAAATACAAACAGTAAGGGAATTTGCAATTTCCATCCTCTTCTTGTTTTGCACAACACCCTGGATGGCTTTGTCCTTTAATTCTCCCTTACTCTGATGCTCTCCACTCCATCATTTACCTTACACTCACTGGCCACTTTATTAGGTACACACATTAGGTAGGCCCTACAATTGCTCGTTGATACAAATAGCTGATCAGCCAATCACGTGGCAGCGACTCAAAGCATTTAGGCATGTAGGTCAAGACGACCTGCTGAAGTTCAAACCAAGCATCAGAATGGAGAAGAAAGGTGATTTAAGTGACTTTGAACATGGCATGTTTGTTGGTGCCAGATGGGCTGGTCTGAGTATTTAAAAAATTGCTGATCTACTGGGATTTTCACCCACAACCATCTCTAGGGTTTACAGAGGATGGTCCGAAAAAGAGAAAATACCAGTGAGCAGCAGTTCTCTGGGTGAAAATGCCTTGGTGATGCCAGAGGTCAGAGGAGAATGGCCAGACTGATTCAAGGTGATAGAAAGGCAACAGTGAGCGCGTTTACATGCACACTAATAAATCAATCATTATCTGATTTCTGGAGTTACCTGACTATTCAAGTGGTCATGTAAACAGCATAATCCAATAGGCTTTATCAGATAAAAGCCATTATCTGATTATGAGAAAAGATAAACACGCCTAGCTTTTTCCCCAGTAGTCAGATTATTTGGTGCATGTATACCCTTTAATCTGGTTTCTTTCGGGTTTTGCTATTTTATACTCCTACTCCACTACATTTTAGAGGGAAATATTGTACTTTCTACTCCACTACGTTAATCTGACAGCTTTTGTTTCCTTTCAGATAAAGATTTTACATAAAATAATATATTTTTATATTCTCAGTGTTTAAATTGTCACTTTTATTTTATCTTACTTATATGTTATGCACTTTGTGTGACAAGTTTATATACAATACACTTGTATATTGCACTTTGCAGTACTTTTACTCCGAATCTACCCAAAGTATGTAAAATTGGCTCCACATTGATAAACTACACATTAGAATGCTCTCACATGTATTTGTTAATGATAAAAACAAACAGTACTGTAAGAATATAAGCTGTCAGCATGATGAGTGTTTTATTTTCCAAATATATGACTTGCGTACTTTTTGAGGTTTTTCAAAGATATGAGTACCTACTGTAACAGGAAGTTTGAGTTTTATGTCATGTACTTGGGGAGAAATCCAACTGAAGGACTGAATCATGTAAACCAGGTTTTTCTGATTATCAGATTATTGAAGTGCACGTAAACACGTCAAATTGGATTATTACCATTACCTGATTATTCCCAGTTATCTGATTATTGTGTGCATGTAAACGTGCTCAGTAACTCAAATAACCACTGGTTACAACCAAGGTCTGCAGAAGACCATCTCTGAACCAACAGCACGTCCAACCTTGAAGCAGATGGGCTACAGCAGCAGAAGACCACAACAGGTGCCACTCCTGTCAGCTAACAACAGGAAACTGAGGCTACAGTTCACACAGGCTCACCAAAACTGGACAATAGAAGATTGGAAAAACGTTGCCTGGTCTGATGAGTCTGGATTCCTGCTGCAACATTCAGATGGTAGGGTCAGAATTTGGCATTAAAATCCTAAAAGCATAGATCCATCCTGCCTTGTATCAATGGTTCAGGCTGCTGGTGGTGGTGTAATGGTGTGAGAGATATTTTCTTGGCACACTTTGGGCCCCTTAGTACCAACTGAGCATGGTTTAAACTCCACAGCCTACCTGAGTATTGTTGCTGACCGTGTCCATCCCTTTATGACCACAGTGTACCCATCTTCTGATGGCTACTTCCAGCAGGATAACGCACCATGTCACAAAGCTCAAATCATCTCAAACTGGTTTCTTGAACATGACAATGAGTTCACTGTACTCCAATGGCCTCCACAGTCACCAGATCTCAATCCAATAGAGCACCTTTGGGATGTGGTGGGACGGGAGAATCTCATCATGGATGTGCTGCCAACAAATCTGCAGCAACTGTGTGATGCTATCATGTCAATATGGATCAAGATCTCTGAGGAATGTTTCTAGCACCCTGTTGAATCTATGCCACCAAGAATTAAGGCAGTTCTGAAGGTAAAAGGGGGTCCAACCCGGGACTAACAAGGTGTACCTAATAAAGTGGGCTGTGAGTGTATATCTGACCTTTTAAATTCACCTATAGCAGCTGTCTATGTTGCCTATAGGTAGATCTTTCTCACAATATGAAGGTCATCCGGGAGGGATTTTAGGATAAAGAACAGGCCTTTATCACAGACTTTAGAAAAAGCACAGGTGTACATAACAAAATTAATAATGCTAAGTTCCATTTAGCCGCTTCAGTTTCAGGGTTGTGGTCCTGTGCATGCTCGTCTTGAAGTCATGACTTACAAGGACTAATACAATGTGCTTTTCTTTTATGATAAGCTGTGAAAAAGGTCTATTGCATGATTCAAGTTGTGGCCACTCGAGATGACTTATCATGGGAAGGAGTCAACAATGAGAAATGTTGGCAAAATAATTTCAAATGATATTTTTTGACTGAATTCCTCAATATTGATTATGTGACATCCAATATTAGTACAGCAAAAAGGTAGAAGCATTGGAACTTCATTACACCTAGGCCTTCTTAAAAAAAATCTGGGTTTTAAAGGACATATCAAACTTAGTACCTCATCTTTTATATATCTCACAGTTTGTTTTTCTTTACAATGAGCATTACAGCCTGCCATCAAGCAATCTTGTTGGACAAACCAGCAAAACACATTTCAAGGGTCAATTAACCAAAATTGGGGATCTAAAATAGTGCTTTTCAAATGGTTGTTTTTATTATATTATGTTATAGAGTTGCATACAGACTTGTCTTTTTATTGAAGCAGGGTAATTAATTTTATTATCAGAGAGTTAATGCTATTTCTTGACAATCTAAGAGGAATAAAATATGGGCTATTGCAATATGGCAACGCTAGAGGACGATGATCCGTATAACCTGATTTGTTGCGTACTAAAAAAAAAAAATCAGCGAAGAAGAAACAACTAACTGACAGACAAAATGGCTGTGGGACGAAGCTAGCCGCTGGGCTAATGTAAACATCCACCAACAGTAGACTGGAGCTGCAGAGACGATAACGTTACCCGATAGCTTTTTGACACTGCGAATGAGACTGTATGTTGACACAAAATTCACGCAGCGTCTTCGCTAGCATAACGTTAATTTGGCTTGTTAGCTTAGCTAGCTAGGTTAGCTCTGTAATTAGCTTAGGCAAACACTGGCAGCTAACTGTGGTTTAGCGTGTTGATTTAGCGTTTTTGAGTGACGTTAAACTTTTGGCGTGTGAGCATTCCGGTTATTTGTAACCACAAATAGTCACCTTCCAGAGTGATATATCTGTATGAGACATGGCTGTTTTGTGAGGATATTGTGTTAGAGTTTTGCTCTGTTCAGTCCTGAGAGAAAAGCTGCTAACTTAGCTATTAGCGAATGCTAACAAGTAGATAGGTCAGAGCTGAAGACATTCATCAGATGTATTGACCCGGAGAAAGACACGCAGTTAGAGTCGTCAGGGCCTTGATTAACTTAAACACTGTGGAATTTGTTACGATAAACAACTGTAGTGTTAAGACTAATTGGCTGGGTCTGTTAAACGACCTGTGGTGAGATTTGGATATAAGCTCAGCTGACGGAAGAGTCACTGCTGTACATAGTTGTTCTGCAGTCTTGAATGGATTAATGTGCAGCGAGGCCTGTCTGTTTGATCATAAAACAAAGCACCATTGTTGGTTGTACTCACTGTTTTGGTTGTTGAAGTTTCCTGTCTTCTGGTGCCCCCAGCAGTCTGTCTAACTTTGGTGAAGGATGATGAGCCAGCGGCGTGGGATCCATCTGGACCAATCAGAGCTGCTTTGCAAAAAAGGATGTGGTTTTTATGGCAACACTGGCTGGCAGGGCCTGTGCTCAAAGTGCTGGCGGGAGGAAAATCAACGAGAAAAGCAAAGGCAGATCCAAGAAGACTGGGCACTTGCTGAAAGGTTTGCCTGTGCCCTGTGTAGTCCCAAAATACAAATACTGTCTCTTTCTCTCCTTTACCTCTTCATTTTGTTGGCTCGTTCTCGTGTCCATGTGTCCAACCTCCAACGATTACAGTTGTACTGTCTTCTCCACCCCAGGCTGCAGAGAGAGGAAGAGGAAGCTTATGCAAGCAGACATCAGAAAGCCCAATCGCAACATACCATCACACCCTTCAGCCGGTTTGAGGAAAGAAAAACTAAAGAGAAGTCCAGCAAAGTCAACACAGTCACAAAGTTTTTTACTCCTTCCACAAAAACACCACCGAAAAAAGGTACATACTGTTGCATGTACTGTCATTTATTAAACCTTTCTTTTTTTAAGTTTTCATTGCTGTTCTTAAGTTAAACAATATATATTTATATTCATTTTTCATTATTCTAAGTGAAGGCTTGTTTTGATTAAACTTTCTTCTGCTTGGGGGCGCCCTGGTAGCTCTCAAGGTTGAGTGAGTGCCATTGAGGCTGAGTCCTTACGGCAGCAGCTTGGGTTTGTGTCTGGCCCAGCCCCTTTGCTGTATGTCATCCCCTGTCTGCCCTATGCCTTTCTTGTCTTTCTCTCTCTCCTTGAAAACAAAGCAGAAATGCCAAAAAAATACTGCCTGCAGTTTTGCGGAACTGGTTCTGAGTACGTGTTTTACTGGAAAAACATTTAAGAAACAAAACCAGGCTGAGGTCACCAAAATTTTAGCTCAATAATCTGTTTGTGGTTTTGTGGTCAACCCTTCCTTAGAATTCATAGCTTGATAACCTACACACACTGTCTGGTGAAAATAAGATATTACCCGCAGCACGTAGGGCTTCTAGAAAGCCTCTGTTTTTGTTTTTGCAGCTTTGGTTAAACTAACATTAAATGGCTTCCCCCCAGATGCTCATTTCGATGCTCACTCCAGCCCAAGCCCGAGCTCCTCTACAAGCCGGCATTCCTCTGTGGACAGTGACCATGCAACGCGAGAGTTCATTGATTTCCTCAAGCCTCTGAAATCAGGCAGGGAGATCTTCAAACAGTGCAGGGCCTTCACTGAGAGCATGGTCTATAAGCGGGTGAGCTAAAGTGGATTACTCATCAGTGTTTTGTGTGTTTGTGGGTGGAAATAGCTTGACAGAAATATTTAATTCCTATGAATGAATAGTTTGTAAATGTGAACAACCTGTGAACAAGATACTTACATTTATTTTTAGTATAAGATTGTGTTTTCACTCAAAGTCATACAGCAGTGTTAGCAGTCCTGATTTTCAGGTTATTGCGATGCACCACTGTCCACCAGTTTGTATCTTTGATACTGTCCCATTACCACTGTTCCTGATTTATAACTTAACACTTCTCCAAATTAACGTTGCAGCCGCTGAATAAATGGAGCTTAAATTGCTTCAACTCAAATGCTGATTGTATTATTTTTTGCATGACATTGTAAAATTCCTTAAACAATTCCTCTGCATCTCGTGAAACCTTGCATGTTTCCCTGTGAGATGCTAAAAGTCACAAAGTGAAAACAGGTGTTTTTAAATACATAATGGGGAAATATGCCCCTTCAGTCATTACAGATGTTTGTAGAAAGTCAGTTTGTTAAACATTTCAAAATATCAATATCAAAATTATGCACAACATATCACTCTTTTATATTTGGGCTTGATTTTAATATCTGTACCCTCTAGCTTGTTTTGAAACTGAAATTCAATTCAGTCTGATCTGAATTGTTCATTTCCATTCTTTGCTCAGGACATGGGTGCTGATGAGCTGTCAGAGTGTGTGCAGGACTTCTACCAGAACCTCTCAGACCGTCTCCACACCCAGTTTAAAGGCACTGCTTAACTCTCAAGAAGACTCTAAACAGTGAATGTCACTAACATTATACAGCGTGTAATGCTGTTGCTTTGTATATCTTTGATGTTAGTGCTTTTATGTGTTTAGGTTCATCAGATCACGTAGAGAGTGTTATGGATGAAGTAGAGAAGTACATGATGACTCGTCTCTACAAAGAAGTGTTCTGTCCTGAGACCACAGACGATGAGAAGAAAGATCTGGCCATTCAGAAGAGAATCAGGTCAGCAAACAAAAGTTGTAGTAATGCTTAAATTTGCTACATGACTAATCACTGATTTCTCTGCGTTCCCTCTGAGCACAAGGAAACGCAATTGCAGAGACAAGAACCTAAATCGTTACTGTTTTCTGTTACAGAGCCTTGCATTGGGTCACCATTGAGATGCTGTGTGTTCCCGTAGATGAGGAGATTGCTGAGGTGTCGGACAGTGTAGTCAAAGCCATCACAGGTAAGTCTCGTTAGGCTTATTTTTGAGAAGGCCATGGTTGGACATCACCGTGTTTTATTAGCTGTATAGATCCAGAATTCGTTTGTCACCCTCTACCATCTCTGCATCATTTCAGATGTGATTGAAATGGATTCAAAGTGTGTGCCCAAGGAGAAGCTGGCGTGCATCACTCGTTGCAGCAAGCACATCTTCAACGCCATCAAAATCAGCAAGAAAGAGGCGGCATCTGCAGATGACTTCCTTCCCACACTCATCTACATCGTGCTGAAAGCGAACCCTCCGAGACTGCAGTCGAACATCCAGTATATCACACGCTACAGCAACCCCAGCAGACTGATGACTGGAGAGGATGGTTACTACTTCACTAATCTGGTGAGGAAATGAGTACATGCTTGCATTTATGTAGTTTGTTGAGTATGTCAGCTAGTCTCCATGTTTCTGAATTTTTTGTAAAAGTGCTGCCAAATTGTGTGGTATTATACAGACAGGTGTTTCTATTATTTTGTCCATTACATTTTTGTCAATGCGGATAGGCTGGGGTGACAGAAACACCCCTGTGCATAATTCAATGCAGCAACACAAACTCAAAAATGAGTGTAAATAACAAAAACCAGATGTCAGATTTTTGTATCAGTCCAGCTCACCTAGAGATTTATGTTAGAAGCAGCTGAGTTACAAGTCAGACAGCAGTCTCAATAAATCATGATGCAATGCCGCTATAAGACGTGTAACATGGCTTTATTTTGAAAAACCTCTTGCTTCACTGTGCTGTTGTTCACTCTGGTAGCAAAGTGGGAAAAGACAGATTGAGAAAAAGAAGTTAATGCTGACTACTACATCAACCGTTTGTCAAAAATTACCTTCTGGAATTCACTGAATGTCAAAATCAGTGGGAAAGTATTAACATCCCTAAAACACGTAAGACTAAAAGTGGTCTTGATGTATACTGTTCCACTGGCAGCACCATATTCCAGGTTGCCGCTCTAGGGTTTTACATTTAAATTCATTTAAGTCTTAAATATATTACAGCTTTGTGTGCTGCTTTTCTCCTTGTGTAGTCTGTCTTCGAGTGGTTAACAACTGCTTTTATTTTGGTCATGGTCACCAGTTCAGTTGGCATTAAAAGCTCTAAAAAGTTTTCAATCTGAGTGGACATGGGACATCCTGCTAGGGCAAGTTGTTGGGATGCCACAGATTGATGGCATCCATAGGTGAGATTTTCTTTCAATGACTCTCCACATCTCCTCTCCCCAGTGCTGTGCGGTGGCCTTCATTGAGAAGCTGGATGGCCAGTCTCTGAATTTAAGCTCTGAGGAGTTTGAGCTCTACATGTCTGGTCAGGCATCCCCCCACTGGCCACCATCCAGCGAAGCTTCCTCCTGTTCTCCAGGCAGCGCGGCTCTCAGTCAGGTCCACAAACGGTTGGATCTGCTAACAGGGCTCGGGGAAAGGCAGGAGCGGGTCATGGAGAAGGCTCGCCAGCTGGAGAGCGACCTCATTGACTGGACGGACGAGGTGGAGCAGAAGGTGCAGAGCGTCCTGGAGAGCTTTCCACCAGAGACACAAAACCCTCCTGCACCCTCAGCTAGTGGGACAACTTCTGCATCAGCAATAGACTCTGATAACGTTGAGAATGAGCACCTGCCTCCACCACTGCAGCCACAAGTGTTTGCTGGTTGATGTGAAGAGATCGACTCAAAAAAAAAAAAAAAAATCCTCTAGATGCTTTACTCCACCCTCCCCTTTTTCCCTGCTGTTAAATGTTGCTGTCTGTATGCACATACAGCAGCTATCTGATATGGATCCCATTCATCTCCATTCCATCCATCCAAGTCCAAGAGGCCCTGCAACTACACTGAACAGTAACAGAGAGTTAGATGAGGAGATATAACCACTTAGCGTAGAAGAAAGGCGAAACAGGTAGTCTAGCTCTGCCCGAAGGTAACTAAAAGCAAATAAGTATTTCCCAGAATTTCCTGGATGCCAAATACACTCCGAGCCTCCAAGCTTTGTCCTGGTTGCAAAGGATTTGGTGCAGTACCTGTGGTAACGCCCTGCTTCAAGCACACACTGGTCTATTACATTCTGCTTCCTCAAAGCGAGACGTGCAGGGAAACCTTCCACGGAGTGGCGTCCAGGAGACATCCTGATGAGAATCCCCAAACCACCTCAACTTCTGCTCCTTTAAATGCAAAGAAGCAGACTGACTCCACTCCAAGCTCTTCCCGAACACACCCACAATGACATCTTCAGTACCTCAGTGCGTCTTCATTGTTGTTATTGCAGTTACATTTGAGCAGACGGGATAAATGGTTTGGATGTGAATTTGAAACATGTTTCTGTCATTCACAGCTTTTCAGACAAAACCAGATGTTTTTGTTTTTGTGTTGTGATGTCTCTAAGGTTGGGTATCATTTAAAAAAAAAATATACCAGTACCAATACCAGCACGCTCAAAGTGACAAATAGAGTACTTCATTTGATACCTTTTTTCCCTGCTTCATTCAGTACCTGTTTAAAATGTTTTAATGGCATCTCGGCACACTGAACTACACTGAGCTTGACTTCACCACACCACAGACTGAATCCCTTGTAGCTGCTGTGGTAGTGGGCCAATCTCACGTCGAATTAAATTGAAGAACTCTCGCAGTGAAAGAGTCTTTTTCTCTAGATCTGGGTACAAAAAGGGTGAAATGCAGGTATCGTGACTGGAGACGTTTCAATACTACTTGGTACTGGGTTATTTCAGTTGATACCTTAAAGAGGTTGAGTGCTGATACCCAGCCTTAGATGTCTCCAGGTGTAAACTGACAAGTGGAGGCTCAAGTGGACACACAGAGCCACACTGCCCAAGTAACCTCCAACAACTTTACAGGAATTTTTCAGTCAAATATGTTTTTGGCAGAGGAAATGGTGAAATCTGAATGATGCGAAACCTAACTTCCCCTCACTGAGACAACCCTCCAGCTCATGCTCGTGATTCGTGCTGTGTTTATTGTGTGTTTCTGCAGAGAAATATCCGGAGAGAACGAGACGTGCGTGTGTGTGACAGTTGTGCATGCGGGTGAGAGTGCGAGCGTGTGTTGCATGGACATGTTCCATTAATGTCGGTGAATCATAGAGTCCTCCAGCTGCGTGTGTGTGGATATCGTAGTCATGTTTTCATGCCAGACCTCTCAACTCCAGTCGTAAGCTGGGTGTACAGAAGTGATTTTATTTTTCTATAGAGTGGCAGGTATCAATTCTTTTGGATGCAATAGGAGACATTAATCCTGTAATATTTACAGTAGTACTCTTGTTAAAGAACATTGCTTGAAGACGTTACATGAATTCTAATGATTCAATAGTAAAATTTTCATTTATTTCACAAGAGGGTGTTGTAAGCATGTCCCATAAAAGGTTTTAGGTGATTTTTTTTTTTTTTGGGGGGGGGGGGGGGGGGGGGGTTCGCCCTGTCAGAACTGTTGGATTAAATAGGTAAGAAGAAGTCAAAGATGATGCTGTTTGCTGTAAACAAGTCATAAAAAAACACTCCTATGGTCGGTTATTCTACTAGTGCTGAAGAATCATAGCATAACCAGTTTAATTTATTTTGAAGCACTTTTCTTCTGTTTGATTTTAAAAATTCTTGATTGAGAAGTGAATTTAATGAAGGAAGTAATGGCTTTATTCATTCGAAAGGATAAATGATAATTGGTGAAAGCAGTGTTGTTAAAGTGTGTCTGTATTTGGCAGTCATGTCTGGGAGAGTTTTGTTTTGCTCATGAGCTAAGATTTCCTTCTGTTGCTAGACTTGTATCTTTTTTTTTTTTTAATTCTTATTTGCAGCACGTATAGTCAGTGTGCAGCTGCTGTCCAATTTTAGTTTGAGAACAGACTTTTAATGCAAACTTAAACAATAGCTTGAACCGCTTCATATTGCACTGTATGCAGAAGCCATTTATCAGGTATTTTAATGAAGTTTAAAACATCATCTTTGTAACCTTATAGGTTTGTTATTGTATCACATATGGGAGAAAGTAACTCAATACTGTCTTTTATTTAAATGTAACTTATTGGGGCAGTATTGGTTTATTTGCCTCTGTGGGTGTGTGATGATGGTTAATAAAAATTGAAAATGCATGTGCAGTTCCTGTTCATCGTGTAGTTTCACATGACTCATAATTTTGCAAGACAGGATTAAATAAAGAGCTGACACACTGAGATTTTAACTTTCCGTACGGTTCTGGATCAGAGTGGAGAAATGAAAAGGATAGTGATTGTATAAGTTTAACAAAATATAGCATTACTGGGATTCATGAACCTTTTCTCCCTTTCCCAGTGTGTGAATTTACAAAGTAATTTCAGTATTTGCTGTATAGTCAAGAGTAAATGTTTGGGCTTTAATTCCCAGATGGGGGAATTCTAACATTACAGCAGCACAAAAACTATCTGAAGAGGTAGGAAACACATGAAGAACTATTTAAAATGAATAAAACAAAGTAAGAATGTATTTAAAAACAAATTCATTACAGAACCTAGTTGGAGTTAGTCTGACTAAATCATGTGAGTATCTTCCAAAGTGACATGTTCCTCTAGCTGTCAAAGTAAGAAAAGATCATTTTCTCCAGCAGGCAAAATAATGTAACTTTTAGTATTAATATGGAAAATACAACAGATACATTAAAAAAGACCAAACTAGTAGAATTTCCAGAGATGATTACTCAGTGCCAAAAAATTCTCTCCACTTCATCAGAGAATGATAGATCAGCATTTATTGTGTCCTTTTTTAACACTATGTATTGTGATTTGTTTCATTATTCCTTCCCATATATCTGTCAATGGGCGTAGCCACATTTTGACTGAAATTCAGAATCAGAAAAATAAGGGTGTGTTACTTTCACTTCCCTTAGTTTTTTACTTAACTTTCCAGGATGAGATGTACATCAGACGAGGGCATTAGGTAGAAATGAAGGAGTAACCTAAATAATATAAAGTAAAAAACTCAGTACACATTATTTACATTAACTGCAATATAACAAAAGATGATTGCTACTGAAATCAGAAATACTTGATCGATCCCCAGGGAGAAATTGTCATTCGTTACGTCACGTTTTCATAAAAATGCAAATACAAAGTATTTAAAACTATAAAAAAAAAAAGCACAATATTTAACAATGTTTAACAAGAATGTATTTAAAGACACAAGTGCATCTCAGAAAATTTGAGTATCATGGAAAAGTTCTTTTTTCCCCTTAATTCAGTTAAAAAAGTAAAACTTGTATATATTCTAGATCCATTACACATAATGTGAAACATTTCAAGCCATTGTTTGTTTAAATTTAATGATTACAGCTTATGAAAATCAAAAAATCTGAAAATTATCTTCATTTGCACTCAGGACTTGGTCTGGGCTCCTGTTGCACGAATCACTGCAGTAACGTGATGTGATATGGAGGCCGTCAGTCTGTGGCACTGCTGAGGTGTTATGGAAGTTCAGGTTGCTTTGATAGTGGCCTTCAGCTCTTCTGTGTTGTTGAGTCTGGTGTCTCTCATCTTCCTCTTGAAAATACCCCATAGATTGTCTGTGGAATTCAGGTCAGGCCAGTTGGCTGGCCGATCAAGCACAGTAACACCACATGGTCAGCACACCAGTTACTGGTAGTTTTGGCGATGTGGGCAGGTGTCCTGCTGGAAAAGAAATCAGCACATCCGTAAAGCTTGTCGGCAAACGGAAGCATGAGGGACTCTAAAATCTCCTGGTAGACGGCTGTGTTGACTTTGGACTTGAAAACAACAAAGCGGCCAACACCAGCAGATGACATGGCACCCCAAACCATCACTGGACCTCTAGACACTTGGATTCTTTGCCTCTCCGCTCTTCCTCCAGACTCTGGTACCTCGATTTCCAAATTAAATGTAAAGTTTACTTTCATCTGGAAAGAGAACTTTAGACCACCGAGACCATTGCAAACAGCCAGCCCTTTCAGCAATGACCTTCTGTGGGTTACGATCCTTGTGGAGGGTGTCAATGAGTCTTCTGGACTACTGTTGGGTCAGCAGTCTTCCACATGATGTGGTTGTGTGTACTGACCCAGACTGACATAGTTAATTAGCTGAGTAGAGCTCTTCTCAGGACTGTGTGAGTCCAGATTATATACAGTTTTCACTTTCTGAAATAACTGAACAACAGAACTTTTTCATGATATTCTAATTTTTTTCTGTATGTGTATCATGCTTAGTATGTGAATTATGTAAATACCCATCATAATACCCATTCGTTCTTGTGAACTCTGTTGTGTTTGAACAAAGAAATCCCCGTCTGTTTCCACAAAAGTATGCTTGCAATTCAAGAGGAAAAATAAACTTATGTCAGAAATTAAAGGGTTATTTTTGAAAAAGGGGATATCCTGTGTGATGTGTTAAGAAAAGAGAACATCATTTTCACTTCCCTCCCCAATTTGGAATAAAAGAATCTCCCTCAGTCTCTGTTTCTCACAAACAGAGACCATCACAATGGACAAGGTCATTTTCCTCCTTGGTGAGTTTCCTTCAGCTCATTCGTAATATCTCACTCACTTAACATTGTCTTTAAAGAATTTTTTATCAACCTTAATTTGTCTAATGCTCGATTATCTTTTTTTTCAGTTCTTTCATCACTACCACAGCTTGTAGTACCCGAGGGTATGTACCACATATTCTTCCAATTAGATGTTAACCTTACATTTCCACTGAACATGGGCATTATGTGATTTTAAAGGACCAGTTTGTATGAATTAGTGGCATCTTGCAGTGAGGTTGCTGATTGCAACAAACTGAATACCCCTTCCTTCACCTCTTTGTTTCCAAATATATAGACTAGAGAACCTGCGGTGGCCTCAGGTAATGTGAGGCCACTGTGGCTACTGTAGAAACTTGGGATGTCCTGACCTGATCTCAATGATCTGTATCAAGGCTGATCAAGGCATTTTTAACTGATCTTAATTGACTATATTAAGCTGTGTAGAGCCTGAACCGACCCTTTGTTTTACATCAGCTGTCACACAGGTGTTTTTATATGTGAGGCTTTCGTGAACAGTTACACAACACGTGCAGAAATCGTCAACTCTCCAATTCTGCGTCTCCCCAGTTAAACACCACACATCATAAACAACAGCAAAATGCAGTATGAGAATCTTAAAGGGATAGAGAAATTCCCTTGAGGAATGGGAGACTCCTTGGAAATGCTCCTGCTCCCTATGTAGATAAGACGGGCTCATTCTAAATTAATGAACACACAACAGTTTTCAGACACTTGTGAAAACATAATAAATAAGTTATAAATATTATATTCCATTTCTGCCAATAGATCCCCCTAAATCCTACACACTGGTGCTTTAAGTACATAAGTTGAACATTAATATTCATAATTAAAACATACAGTGCAGGTATACAAATGATTTAGATTCTTTTGGAGTATTCCTCTCTAACAAACCCAAATGTGTTTGTCTCCATAGTTCACTCTGTGACCTCCTTCAGAGCTGTGGTGGAGATGGTGTCAGGGGATTCAAGGATCTTCTCTGGAGAGAGTGTCCGACTGAAATGCAGCATTCCCAATGGCCACAGGTCTTCCTGGAAATACCTGTGGTTCAGGGGATCTGAGCAGCTCCCACAGCACGGAGAGCACTTCGTTCTGTGGAGAGCCAAGATTCAAGAGAGTGGGAAATATTACTGCCAAGGAGTGAGGGACACAGTGGTGGGAGACATACACACCCTCCAAAGTCTGCCTTTTGAGGTTAACGTTGATGGTAAGATTTTGTTTATTATAGTGCCATTTAATTAGAAATCTAACTGATTCACATGTCAGGGCCTCCTCCCTTTTTTGCTTCTTTTGCTACTCCTGTTAACACTGAAAATTGGGAACTGCGAAACACTTGCTGCCCTGAATGTCTTAAGTATTGCGTGGTGCCCCTTGTGTGTTTGTTTTGCTCATCTCAAACGTCATTGGCCTGTTTTATTACTGTGAGTATGTATCAATATAAGACCACAAGATGTTATCTTGATGTAACTTAATTCTTTGTTATCTTTGTTCAGGAGGGTATGCCATCCTGCATGTCTCACCTCAACCCAGCTTAGAGGGAGACACATTAACGGCCACATGCCGTGTTCGAGGCACACCCCAAATTCATGAGGTGATTCTGTACAAAGATGGCTTTGAAGTTATGAGACAAAATGGCATCAACCCATATTTCAACCTGACCAACCTGACCATCGAGGACCAAGGAATGTATTCTTGTAGGGCTTCCTGGGACACAGAGAGACGTACACGCTCTGTAATTTCAGTTGACACTCCACTGCAGGTCGTAGGTGAGTCTATATACTGGGTTACTTTTGTGTTTGGTTGTGACTGCACATGTTGAAATGATCCACATATAGTGAAATGCACTTTTTGCTGAGAGTTAGATCAATGCCACTCTTACCTCTGCATTCAGTATCTAAAGCCAGTTTAAGTTTCAAGCTTAGTGTAAGAGGAAAACAGCTGGCTCTGTATAAATAAATAACTACCCACCCACCCAACCAATCAGAAGCAGCTCCATCGATCGGGAGCACTTTGACTGATGCACAGTTGTCAATCGTGACGTCAAACCCCCTTTTTATGGCATCGCACAGCTAATTAAAATCAAACTTACCAGACAAACACTTGGACATACATCAACGTGATAAAAACTACCTAAAATGGCAGAAACCATCTTTGGAAAAAATCAATTTGACGTTTACTTGGACCTTTTAGTTTGGCCCATATCCCATCTGCTAACATGGAGAGGTTGGGGTTTATGACCTATACTGCACCCAGCCACCAGGGGGAGAGTGAGATGTTTTGGCTTCACTTCTTGGGAGCTGTCATGTCGTCCATCTTTATTATAGAGACTTTGACTATTTCTTGACCGAGCGTACGTGATTGGGTCACTTGGTAGAGCCTTTTCCCCCTGTTTCCAGTCCTTATGCTAAGCTAAGCTAACCAGCTGCTCGCTTCATATTTTGTGTACAAATATGAGAGTTGTATTAATCATGTCATCTAACTCCCAGCAAGAACGAGAGTGAAAAAGCCTTTCACAATACATCAAACTATTCCTATAAATAGAATTTACCATAGTTGTTCTCAGCCTAATTTCCACCTAAATACAACAGGGAAGACATTCCTGAAATTATTTTAAACTATTCAAATATATCAGTAAAGTTTTGTCAATAATATTTTGTCTTCTGTGGCTCTATCAGAGGTCGTGTCGCAGCCAATTTTGGAGATTGTTGCCGACAATAACCAGGTTCCAGTAAATAAGATGAAGCTCATCTGCCACGTCCAATACAACGCCCATGCTCCTGCTCCTCCAATACACTACTATTTCTACAAGAATAAGAGCCGACTGGGAATAGCAACCTCTGAGAACCATGATCTGGTTAAACAGGATCCAGGCCAGTACAGCTGCAAGGTCAAGGTGCCTCAGTTGGGTGTCACCAGGTGGAGTACACCCCAGAACTTTGCACAAGTGACAGGTACTTTGAAGTAAATGTAACCTGTTGTTTGTCCTCGACTAAAAGTGAAAACCCTAATCTTCTTCTTGAACTGTCAAAACTGTGAATAATTGCACAGCAGTTGCGAAACTTCTGAGGTCAACTTGTCTCTGACCCAATAGGACCACAGATGATGAGGCCTCCAACTCTTCAGCCAAGAGACCTATTGCCTTTAGCTGCCCAAAACTCACCCCCAGACCTCCCCCTGCCTCCTGCGTCTGAGCCAACAGCAGCCCGGCCCTCCCCTCCCCAATCAACAGCAACTTCTATTTTTATTCAGTCTACTAAAGTAAGCACCCAATCCTCAGATCCCTCAGAGAAGCCTTCACAGCCAGCGCCAAGCACTCCACCTACAGTCCAGCCTCTCAACCAAACTGCCACTCCTGTCAACATGTACAAAGAGTCTGGGGAAATGTCTGGAGATGGTGACTGGCCCAATGAAACAGAGGACTGGGACGCGGAATCAGGTGACTGGCCTGAGGAATCAGGTGACTGGCCCGAGGGCTCAGGTGGCTGGCCCGAGGGCTCAGGTGGCATGCCTTAGGACTCTCCAGACACTGTCCCTTGGTGACAAGCTGTCACACATTACAGACCAGTGCAGAATTAATGATGCTAAATCAGAGTAATAACGCACTATTGCTACATCTTTAACTATCTGATATAAATCATACATACAGGGCCACTGAGCTGCCACTGCACACTTTTTAAATGATTCATTTTGTAATATTAATTTACATGTTAGCAGCTGTCAGCTTCATGATCTCATGTACAAGACTAACTGGATCAGTAGTGTTGGAAATAATAACAAATGCTATATTGGTTAAAGCAAATAAAGCATTTCATAAATCCTACAGTGTGTACTACTGGATTTTATTTTCAGTGAACCCTTTTTACAGCCCTATGATACAGCAGTACTGCTTACATATTGGTGTAATAACATGGACAGTGGATTTACAGTAAGAAGAATAATACAGGCACAGTGATATTAACACATACATTTTTATGTCTCATTTTTATGCAATTACATATATTGATTGCCTGGGTCATCAGTGAGAGTGTACATAAACAGGAGTAGAGGACAGAGTGAAAGACAGGAAGAGCAAACAATAAGGTTGTTAAGAACTTCTGTGAGACAGATGAGGTGAGGGAGACATGGAGTCACGCTGTTTAACTGAGGGCAAAAACATTTTAGGCAAAGTATATTGTTTAGGAACACTGTGCAGGGCTTGTAGAGGATAACAGGGGTCCTTAAAAACAGAAAAAGCCTCTGCACACCCAAATGTGTGATGGGTGCATTGGTGGAAAACACAGTTTGAATAAAATTAAAAAAAAAAAAAAAAAAAAAAAAAAACAACTACTGCTTTCTTGCTTGTTCCTCAATTGCATGCACAAGCTTCACAACAATTTTATATATGTACACTGATGCAGGATAAATTAGAAATTTTATAATTTTATCATACACTGATCATTGGTGTTTGGTACTTTTGCTCTCATTTACCTTTGTCATTTTGTTAATCTTTTCATAGTGTGATTTTTTTAAGCACCTGTATGTGAGATGTAGGGGTATTTAGTGCCATCTAGTGGTGACGATTGCAGATTGTAACCAGGTGGAACTTCTCCTATTTAGAATTCCCTCAGTGCTCAGTGTTCAGGAGGTTTTTACTCGGAGCTGCATTACCTGCAGAGGTCTTTTCCTCTCCAAAACAAACGGACCAGATAAACACTGAATACAGTTTCATGTTAAAAATTTCTTGTTAAAAGTTATATGCTCACCGTTTTTGTCTGGTAACTTAATGTGGCTCACCTTAATTCTGATCCAGGAGGTTTTTACTGGGAGCTGAATTATCCGCAGAGGTGTCTTCCTCTTTAAAACAAATAGATCTAGTGATTTAAACTGGTAAAAACACTGAATGAAGCAGTTTTACATTTTAAAAAAAGTGTTTTTCTGACTCTCTCATTGTATAGGGGCTGCTCACTACGGTGGCCATCACAAATCCAAAAACATGAGTGGCTTTAACTAGAGCCAGTGTTTGGTTTGTCCATTCTGGGCTACTGTAGAAACATGGTGGTGCAACATGATAAGCTCAGTGGATGAGGACCCACTCCCAATGTGAATATAAACCGCTCATTCTAAGGTAACAAAAACTGAACAATTCTTATTTTCAGGTGATTATACACTCAAGAAGACATATTTATATTCCATTTCAGCCAATATGTCCCCATAAATCCTACACATGGACCTTTGATTACCTGGGTAGCAAAGTGTGTGTTTCTAAAAGATGTGTCACTTACCACTTGACCTCATTTTTGTGGTCTTGATAATTCACATCTACAAAGAACTATTATGATGTGTGTTCATATACCTGATGAAAGCAGTGTAGATCAAAATGTTGTAAATAAAATATACCAGAGCTAAACAAGACTTTTCTTTTTATTCGGTACATAACAGGTGAAATAACAAGATATTAGTGAGGTGATAATACATTTAACTTGATCTTGATATTGCCTGTCCTTAAATTACCATACTAGTGTGCAATACAGCTTTGGAGCAGTTTATCAGTAATGAGTACAGTGTAGCACCACCAGTAGTTGTCCTTTTTAGGGATCAAGTTGGAACAGTCCAGTAGAAGAGGATATTTTGAGTTGAGGATCAACCCTTGTCTGAGTAGAGCAGGAACCCAGAGAAGATGCTGTCGTCCTCACTACTGGCATACGCCCCATTCCAGTCTCTGAGAGTCTCCATCCACACCTGATCACCCACCGCCAGCTGCAGCACCACCAGAGTGGACGCCTGGTCGATGTCTTGACCATATAGAGAGTCCCGTGTCCTTACTCGCCGTGACCCGTTCACTACCAGTGTGGCTCGCAGTGGCTGATTCCGTACAGTGATGTGGAAGGAGAAGACGTAAACCCCGGCGTGGACACATGTAAAGCTGTTGGAAGTGAGATTGAAGTGGTTCTCTTCGTTGTAGAAGACTTTGTCGAAGCGGACTGGGAAGCCAGAGGGAGGGAAGGACTTTCTCGGGGAGATACCCACACTGAAGGCCGAGCGTTTCTGGGGAACCCCTGATCCCTTAGCTCCCTTGAATCCACGAAAGCCGCGATCACCTCTCATCCCAGGGTAACCTCTGTCCCCTTTCGGCCCAAGCATCCCTCTTATGCCTTGTGGTCCCTGAGGTCCTCTGATTCCTGGTTCTCCTTGTGGTCCAGGAGGTCCTTGATCCCCTCGGATGCCTACAGGACCAGGGGCACCATGCTTGCCGTTAATTCCTGGAATGCCCATTGCTCCTGGAATGCCAGGAGACCCAGGATCTCCTCGCTCTCCTTTCTGTCCCCTCTCCCCGAACGAGCCACATTCCCCCTTATCTCCTTTGTCTCCTTTAGGACCTAGCTCAACAGCCACTCCTGGCGGTCCAGCTGGCCCCTCTTTTCCTGGTTCTCCCTTCTCACCTGTGGTGCCATTCTGTCCAGGTTCCCCTTTCACCCCACCATCACCTTTGGCACCTTGCAACCCCACTTCGCCTTTCTCACCTTTTGAGCCAACTTCACCTGCAAGGTAAGGAAACTGTGTCAGAACGGTTGAAGTCTGGAAACAAAATAAAAGAATTCAGCAGTCACCTCAACAAGTTTGCACCTTTTTGTCCCGGTTTTCCGGGAAGTCCAGGTGGTCCACCTGTCCCACTGTTTCCTCTGTCACCTTTATCCCCTAAGAAATTGACATAACAAAGCTAGTATTCAATGAACAATATCCAACATAAACAATATGAATGTGTCTTTTTTAAATGATGCTTATAGGAGAAAATGATATATATAATTTGACAGGTCTACTGGACACAAGCTCAAATGTCAAAGCAACCTGATTATACTGATTCACCACTGTGTAATGGCCCCTGGGCTTTATGTGTTGTGCCCAGGTGCCAGTTGTTTCATTATATGCTCTTCAAACATAATGGCTGCATTCTGCAGTCTTGAAATATGTAGGGGTGTCACGATATACCAGTATTGATAATAACTGTAATATTAAAAAAATGAAATATTGATATTATGTTAATAGTACACATATGATAAAGTTGTGTAAATAAGCCAGCACCTCTTATATTTTCACTTGTCTTTCTGTTCTCACTTTGTCTCCCCTCTCTCAACACCATCTGATTGCCTTTTCACTATCCATTAAGTGTAACTGCTCTTTTTGTACTCTTTCATACTGTTATGGTTACAGACCCTCTCTCCATCAAGTGTTATTAATTTGCCAAAAAAAAGACAAAACACACAATAAACAAAGTTAAAGATAAATTTGACTGTTAGCTTTATTATTATTAACTTTATTTTTTTTAATAGATATTGCAATAATATCATTATCATGAACTCTTTTGGCCACGATAATAATGTAGTGAAAATCTGATATCGTGCCAGCCCTATATGTATGTAATAATCAATTGTACATGTGTATTTAACCATATTATACCCACCTTTGTCTCCCCTTAACCCCATAGGGCCACTCACTCCTGGTGGTCCTGGTAAGCCAGCTGCTCCTGTAAGGCCTCTTTCACCTGGTGGCCCTACGTAGATGAGCAAACATAAATAAAGTTCAAAATGGTGAAAGCAAACATACAAACAACTTAATTGCACTTAATCCGTGAGTCTTATACCTTCCAGGCCTCTGTCTCCCTTTGGCCCCCTGGGGCCTCTCTCAGGTGGACAGCACTCACAGAAGTTGAAGTAACACTCATTGTAATCAAGAGTGTAATTCTCAGGGCCAGCACCAGGGGGCTCCATGCTCTCTGTGTAGTACTGTGGATAGACTTGATTTGGATGGGTGGTCCTCTCTGTGGTGGGCAGTGGACGGGGCGCAACAGGATTTGCACTCGGCACTGCCTTGAGAGTCTTGGGCATGCTGGTGGTCACAGGGTTGTGCACGGTGATCTGAGGGACAGGTTTCTTGGTGTACTGGTACTTTGGCTTCTGTGTCGTCTTAGCTCCAGCGCAGGACACCACAGTGAGTGTAACCACAACTACAGCCACAAGGGTCGACTGACAGGAGATAATCCTCATGGTTGACTGGGAGCTGAGAACAGACACGTTTATAGGCTACAGGACTCTTCTGTTTGTCTGCACTGATTTCATTTCCCATTCATTTTAGGTTAAAGACAGCAGATTAAAAGAAACATGCTGATTAGCAGTTCATCAGCCCTGTCCAGCTATCACTCCTCTCGTCTACTATTATCTCAATATAGTATCATCAATTCTTTTTCCTTGCTTCTCTATTTCCACTTGCACGTTTCCTGCACTGTCAGTTTCAGATTGGAGCTACACTGTTTTTCAGTCATGTGCCGTTATAACTAGAAATCTATAGTTAGAGCATTCAGAGCTGAGTTTATGGTCAGTAAATGCAGCTGCTACAATGTTCAACTGCAATGAAAACCTGCATCTTCATCATCTTCATCAAGTTAAGTATGCCCCTCAGCTTAGCTATGCTATTCTTCATACATAAACTAATCACTGTAACAGGTGACCAACTGTCAACTGTCTGTGAATCATCAAAATGAATCATTTAGCAAAACTGATGAGACTTACCCAGTTATGCATAAGTGGTATGATCATTTATCCTCTCTAGCAGTGGTTTGGAGGCAGCACCAGGAGCTCCAGATCCAGATCTGATATCTCTGCCAGGCTTGGGCGAAAGAACATTCCCACCAATGAGGGTGGGTGCTGGAAGCACAGGGGGAGGTCTGAAACCCAACTACGGTGGGCTGGAGCCGACCCAACAAGAACCACTGTGCTGTGGCCCATTCTCTGTACGCCTGTTGTGTAGAAAGGTGCTTTTGTGATACGGGATACAGCGCCCGCCAGGAGCACTCCCTCTCTGCGAGCTAGGTGAGGAGCAAAGGCCGTGGGGCAATGGGTCACCCGATATGGGAGGCATTCCTCCAACATCCAACCTGCTATCCAGGCTCTTACAGTGGGACAAAGCCAACCAAAGAAGCTTCTATGACAGAGGCCGGGGCACTACAACAGCCTTTTTTCCCCAAGTGTTGCTTTGGACAGTATTCAGCAGGAAGGTGCAAACCGTTTCTATCCAGAATTTTTACATGTAAAGTGCCACGCTGCTGCAAGATGAAGTTTGAAGAGTACACCTAGATGACATTATCTGCAGCAATTCATTTAAAAACCTTACCTATTAAGTGATGTAAGCAGTTGCTTAGGGCCTTCTGGTCCATAGGGCCCCCCTAAAAAAGATTTTGTTCGACAAACAAGATACAATAGATTGGCAGCACGGTTGTGTAGTGGTTGTCACACCAAACTGGCCTGTGTAAAATGCTCAAATGACTACTTCCTAATTAACAGCCCTTTAGCTTGTTACTATCACTAAAGTTGGTCATATTTGTATGCCATATCAAACTGCAAACGATGTTAGGCATAAATAAACAAGTTTTAATCATAAAATGTGATCATGCCCTGTACCTTGTCTACTTTTGTGTCAGGATCAGCTATAGACTGACAGGTCAGAGATGACTGCTATCTCATTTTCACATGGATATGTGTACTGTTGTCTTGCTACCACTAGAGGGCACAGAAAAGTGTCCACAAACTAGAACAACAGGTCCAAGTTGAGCAAAATGAAGTTTAAGGTGTAGCAGTCCCAAAATGTAATGTCCCCATAGGAGGACACAGAATCGATGGAGGTCAGATATGATGAGTTAGATAAAATTAATGAACAAGACAATAATGAAAGTCAGCGCAGACTGGGATATATCTTCTCAAGCTATTCTTTCAGTGTTTGCCAAGCACTTTAGCCCATGATTTCAGTTGAATATAATACATTCATTCATTCATTGTCCGTAACCACTTTCATGTTAGGGGTCACTAGGGTGCTGGAGCCTATCCCAGCTGACATTGGGCGAGAGGCAGGGTGCACCCCGGACAGGTCGCCAGACTATCACAGGGCTGGAATAAATCATATCTGAGGTCAAATTAAGAAGACCATTCAGAGGGTTGGGGGGTAATAGACAAAGAACTGTATTTATTGTAGTCTATTTAAATAGTATAACTGACCATAGGTATCAGTTTAGTCTGTGTGTGCTTGAACTAATATTTACGATGCACAGGTCTGTTCAATGCCATGTGAAGTGGCAACATGTTAAACTGAGGGTGCCCGTCCAAACAAATTTCTGCTTAGGGCTCCAAAAAGTCTAGGGTCGGTCCAGACTGGCAAACTGGCGCACACCACAGGGAGCTCAGTATTTACAATCTGCGGGTACTTGGTGAAGATCCAGAAGAAAGCTTTAGCCTTAAGAGCGCTGATAATCTCCTCACTCAACAGTTGCTAAACCTGAGCTGTTTGTCAAAGGAACCAGCTTATCTCCTTTAAATCACTGCAGTTGCAATGCTTGCCTGATCACTGTGACCGACTTTCTGCACATGATCCCCCGAGACTGCTGGCAGCTACATTTGCTAACTATGATTCATACTGTGTTGCCGGACAATGATGCATTCTTACGGTGTAACGAGATAGCATCAGGTTTTTGTAGAAAAGTGATTTTCTGGTAGCTGTCTAGTCGAAACTCTGGACTGGCCGGTGAATGAATGTTTGAGCAGTGGACATGCCTCAGTCGTCAAAGACCTCACGTCCTCAGAGGGATCTATGTCCAGCTATGAGTGAGCAGGAGGAAGGGAAATGAAATTTGGGAAACAGAGAGGGGTGATGGTAGGATGAGGGCTACTAAATAGGAGAAGATTGTGTTTATTTATCCCAATTTTTTTCATCTTCTCACTAATACTTTTCTCTACCTCCTCACCTCCATTCACATGCTCCTCTTCCCAGCAGCTCAGGTGAAGTGTCCCTGACTTACCCCTCCATAAGAGACAAACAGATGCAGTGTAAGAGAAATGCAGCGGAGTCCTGAGAGAGGGGTTCCTCTGGGGTTCTACGTGCCCTGAGCTCAACCCCGTCGTCTCTCAGCTCCATTCAGACCACACACAACAGCAGCGGTCAGCTTACAGTGCCCAGCTGGTCACAGAGGACCCAGGCGCTGCTCACCTGTCCGTTCATTTAACACTGGCACCGGCCCTGCCCTCAGCCTCCATCCTCACACACTATAGAGTGAGGGATAAGGAGGAGTTAACTTACTCAGCGGGTGCAGCCGAGCAGAGAGAGGACCAAAGATGACTTGGGTGGATGGAGGTGTATTGCCTTACATTAACCCTATTCATGTAAAGGTGATCTTGAAGCTGAAGTGAATGTGTATAGAGTGAGTAAGAGAGGGTGAGAGTGAGACAATAACGTAGAGACTTGTTTGGTAACCCGCACAGTCACTCTCTGTATGAATATTTCAGCACTAACAAGGCCGCAGACTGTTTTATTTTCTTCTTCTATGGGATCTTATCACAGAAAACCTAGATCCTGCAGAATTAGCAGCTAATGACTTTGGCAAGAGATCTGCTGGCAGTGAAGACACATCTCATGTAGTCAGAGTACAAAAACACTTTCTCCCGCCACACTTACCCCGACAAGCCTCTCTGATGTTGGGGATTGGTTTCTAATGCGCTCAGAGTTGCCTTTTCCAAAAGAGAGGAGCTGTTTTGAAGAAGTCCATCAGACAATGATTATATCATTTGATGTTGTTTTTGAATGAATGTTTGTGGATGTATTTTTCTTCACACCTGAGCTGACCTGGACATTTCCTGTTTAAAGTTAATTTGTGGGCACATTTTTTCAGCTTTCTTCCCAAGAGATAGAGATGAAAAGGCTGATGCCACTCTCATATTTGTCTATGAAATATAAAGATCCAACAAGCAGTTAACTTAGCTTAGCTTACCACCAGAAACGGGGAAACAGCCTGCCTGGTTCTGTTCAAAGGAGAGAGAATCTGCTTAAAGGCTCACTAACTAATATCTCCACATGTTGCCTGGCATCCTCACAGGGACAACAGAGGTTGAGGAAGTGGTTATTAGTGAGCTTTAGAAGAGCTGGTAGGGAGATTTTGCTACCTTTGCTACCTTGCACAAAGCCAAGCAAGTTGTTTCCCTCTCCGGTCTTAATGCTAAGATAAGCTAATAGTGGGGCAGTTTAGTGTAAGACTTTTGCCATAAAAGCAACACATTTGACACAGATGTTTACATGTAATGAAAAGATAGCCAGATATCAGGGGCTGCAAATTCAGCCCCTCGGGGCCATGGCAGCCATTTTTTTTTGTGTCTGAATGTTGCAGAAAACAAATTTTATGACTCTTTTTATGACTTTCTCTTGAAAAAGAAATGTGTTGCTTGTGATGCAAAATGCACAATTGTTATTAATTCTTTAACCTAGTTTTCTCCACTTTAACCAGCTGCTGGCCATAGCCGTATATTCAGGTATGAGAGTGGTGTCAATCTTCTAACTCTTGGCAAGAAACTGGAACTATTGCTTTAAAGAACATCCTATCACCAGCTGAAAATCTTTTTTGTGTGTTTGTTTGTTTGTTTGTCCAACCAGTATTTTAACTTCTCAGCTTGCTGCAGTGATGTATAGCCTAAGTGTTCTCTGGGTGTGCCAGTGCATTATGGGATCACTGTTTTTTAGGTGTGGTTACATGTGCAACAAAGCTGACTACTGGCCATACCCAACAGAGGTGCAACAGAGTTGAAATTTCAACCAGAAGGGTCTGTAAAACGCTTCCCAGCCTTACATTAATTAACTGTTTACATGCAATGCAAAAAATGAAGGCACTACAAACAGAAAGTGCAATGTTGGCAACTTCCTTTGGTTAGTAAACGTAATGCACAGGTGACTGACTGCTGGCCTGTTGGTGGAATTTCACTGCTGGACAAAAGGCAGGATAAAAAGAAGTCATTGCATGGTTTTATGATTTTATGATTTTGTGGTTTTGCTGAGCAATGGTGCCTCCTGTGTATTCTATTTCATCATATTTTTTGTTTTTAATTGTATTTAAATGTCCTTTGAATTGCCTTGTTGGTGGATTTTCTGCTCATTCTTTTTTCATGTGAAGCACTCAGTGCATGTAATCCCCTTATTGTAAAGGACTTTGTGCAGCATTTCTGGTTGGAATAGTGCTTTAAACAGGGTCTTCTTTACACCATCCTCCAACACCACAGAACCTCCCTAATGTAGCCCCAATGCAGTCACATTGTACATTTCCTAACTAAAATCTCTAATATCTAGAACACCAACTGACCCTCATCCCCTTAAATCAATGAGCACCCCTGGAGAAATACAAATCAATAACAATCTTTCTTTCAGCACCACTCAACTTCAGCCCTAAGCTGATTATTTGAACAGGTGTAGTTCACCTAACAGACTCCATGACCCTGTGAAGATCAGACGGGTTTGATATCCAGTAAAAAAAAAAAAAAAATTACAAAACTCTGTCTCACTCTGTCCCTTGTGTGTTTCACACTAAAATTCTTGGTAGCCTGTCAAGCATTCGTTCACAGCAGCTTGCACACATTGATGGAAATGTCCCTCTTCTCCAGGAATATACAGAACCATACCAGATAGTCTTAACTGAGGGAAAATTGTTAGAGTACTTTCTTAACTAGAGTCAGAGACTTGTGATGATTTTACCTGAGCAAAGAATGAGATCATTGTCATCACATCTGTGCTACACCGAGCAAAAGATTATTTTTCTATTCGACCACTTGGTGGCAGACTTGTGTTTTA